AAATCCTAATGCTTACCTAGGCGGAGGTGTGACCGGATGTCTTGAAATGTCCACAATCTCCAATAAAGATTCGAGATCAAAAAAGCACATTGAATACGTTCTGAGAGGTTTTAGAACGTTCCTATTAGAGACTAGAACTAAAGGCACGTAAGCCTTTCCTATAACAAAAACGGTATAAAATGTTGAAATAAGAAGTGAAGCTATGACAGTCTACCAGACGCATCCATGGCTTCTTTACGCCGTTCGATAATAGTATAAAGGCCATTCATATGATCCTGATGTGCATGAGTAATAAAAACTGCATGCAAATTGCAGAGAAGCTAAAATCAGAACTATCAAAATTTTAACAAATAAACACAATTCAAGCTCCTTATAAAGAGCATCAAATTTCCTCTTAACAAAAATTTAGCTTTAAAAAAACCTTAATAAAATTATAAAACTTGCAAAAAATTTCGTTTACCTCAGCACACCTCTTCTCGCCTAGAAGAACTCGTATTTGCCCGTATGTTCCTTCTCCGACATCAATAAGTACAGCCGATGTAGGGCTCGTTTCTAGCAGGTATGAGCTGACGTTGCGATACTTTGACGGGACAGCTGACGAAGTTCCCAAGAACGACACTCTTGGGTATTCACAAGACATAGGGGAGGAATGTCGTAGTTTTTCTGTTTCTAAAAAAACCACTGTAAGAAGGGCTTCTCCGCAAATGTTATTTTTAACCAATAGGGCATGTTGAAAGTTATATGATAAGAAAACCCCCAAAAAAAAGAAACAAAATGAAAGAAGGAGAACAAACTAGGCAAGTCACGAAACGAACCTTGCCGTAGATTTTCTACCAACTCCTTTGCCTTGTCCGTCAGCTGCAAGTCAGTTTCACGCAGATCCGCAATTATAGGCTCTTCTCCAACTCCTGAACACTCCTTCCAAAAGTCTGCACCAAACCCGTATTTATAACTACTCACCTCCCATCCTCATCCAAAACCGTTGCAATGGGGCCGCTTTAAGATATACTCCATCTTTTACGGCAAGATCATTAGCTTGAGTGACTAGTCCACTCCACGCCAATGGATGCAGCGCTGGGAACAAATCAGGGCTAATGTGGTGTAGTAGACGGTGATTCCTAAATTCAATCACTAAGGAAAATAATGAAATTCAGGCAGAAGTAAGTACCTATAAATGCTCTCTACTCCAGGAACAACCGGACAAGACGAGTTTGCCACAATATGACAACAATTTGGTCCAAGTGAGGCAACAAATTTTGCGTAAAGTGGAAGATGAACAACACTTTCTTCACTAAGGTGCACAACATGATCGATGCACTTTGTCCCATCGATAAATTGCTGAAAAATCATCGTTAATACATGATGTCCAGAGAACAGAAAATTCCACCATCATTCCGAAATGTAAAAGAAAAAAAGCTCTGGCAGATACCTGGATAGCAGAATTTTCGCTTAAAGCCTTAACGTGGGCTTCCCCGGAGCACTCAAAAACCAAAGCACGGGGTCGCTCTTCCTTAAATGACGGAATATATGGCGAAAGGCATGTATCAATCGATAAAAATCAAATAAACATCATCGAATTATGAGCGTCTCACTTTTGGACTTTCATCAGAAAACACATCTTCAGGATGAACTTTACGTCCATCAGCCAGTTG